CACTGCCAGAGGAAATGCCTCCACCTCCATATCCACCACCTATGCCACCACCTCCTCCTCCTCCTCTTCCTCCTCCAGAAGAATAGCCACCACCTCCTATTCTACCCATGCCTCCTCCCATGCCTCCTCCTGGGACTCTGCGAAGAGAGAGAAAGAAGGAGAAAAAAAGTTAATCAAGTGCCTTTTTGGTCTCAGAAGGAAATCTGTCCACAGACGCTGCCCGGAAGCCTCACTTCTCTCGTCTGTACTTCTAGAACCTGGCACAGATCAGCAGGGTGACTGGGGCAGTGCCAAAACTCAACCTCTCTTTCAGTTTCAGCTTGAATGCAAGAGTTTTTCGCTCAGATATTTCCTGCAAGACTTAGCATTGCTTTATGGTCTCACTGCACCCCAGATGGGAAAGGCAGAAAATGGAGCTTTAGCTCTTTTTTCTGGCACGCAAGCTCACTGCGTAAGGGAAACTGAAATAGCTTGAACTTCCAGAGGATTGCACACTGAGACTTTTATGAAGGTTTGCAAACCTATGGACATCTTTCTGCTTACAGTCTTTCCCAAGGTGCCCTCTGTCTGTTCAGTTCCTGGCCTTTCCTGGAACCAGGGTAAAGGCAGGACTCTGTATGGGAGATTCCCTGTCCAGCCCCAAATCAGGAGTTCAGAATTTCTGCATTACTTTTTCTTGACATGATTTATATTCTGAACCAGTTTGCCAAGAAATGCGCAGTACCTCAAACCTGGGAGGCTCTGACTCAAGATAGCTGAATTAAATTAGCCTCATCTCAGCACAAAATCTGTTCTGCAAATTGAGACTGTCGCTTTCCTGGGTGTGTGGCTAATCTAGCAATCCCGGGTTTCACACAGTGCTGTGTTCTTCTGTCAGTTTACGTACACAAGGTCTTGCTGCCCTTCCTCCAGCAGTGCCCGGTACTGAGCAATCTCCTGCTCCAGGCGCGTCTTGATGCCCAGGAGCATCTTGTACTCCTCGTTCTGACTCTCCGTCTCACAGCGGATGCTGGCCAGCTCCTCCTCCAAGGGGCCGATCATCCCCTGGATCTGCTGCAGCTGCATGTTGTAGCGATGTTCTGTGTCTTCCAAGTTGGATTGCAAAGAGTCTACCTGTGAAAGGAAAACAAGACAGAGTGTTGATGGGAACGTGGTGAGTTTAACTCAGTTTTACGGAAAGTGTGGAGATCTCAAACCAGAAGAAGAGCACCTATCTGAAGGTAAGCAATGCAGTGTCTTTCTCTCCAGCTGGAGCACTGTGTAGGTGTCACCGTTCTTTCATTCTGGTGACACACACAGCCTGGGTCACAGGTGAAGCAGAAGCAAATGCCTGCACTCACCATGCTGATTTGCGACTGCAGCTCGATTTCCAGGCTCTGATATTCACGTCTGAGCTCAGAGATCTGTTGGTTGCTTGACTGTATCTCCTGGCCACTTGAGTGGACTTGTTGATTAACTTCCTCCATCTGAAAAATGCACACACAAAAGTGAGGTGGCTTTCATGTTAAGACAACATAGTGGAGTTATCATACAAGCATTGAGAAAGCAGTTAACAAGAATGAAGAGAGGTGTCCTGTAGGCTGACTGTGCATTCCCCGCATGCGTCTCTGCTAACTCGCTCTATGCAGTTCATCTTGCTGCTGGAACCCAGAGGTTCTACGTGCTTTACCACAGAACCTGCATACCCCAGAACTGACCTGTTACAGTCAGCTGCTCACAGTCATTTCAAGTTAATGTCCTTACAGAACAGGCGATAAGTTACCTTTCCCTTGCTGCATGCAAATGGACCTAGGTCTTTGAGAAAGATTTCGTAACTGAAAAAGCCTTGTGCTTTACCTTGGTTTCATACCAGCTTTCCACCTCTCTCCGGTTGTTCTCAATAAGCCGTTCGTATTCGCAACGCATTTCATTTAATTTTTCCATCAAGTTAATGCCGGGAGTAGCATTGACCTCCACATTGACATCACCACCTGATTGTGTTTGCAGTCCTCTGATTTCCTGAAAAAAAACCCACCAAGTTCTCAAAGGGTGAAAGTAAAGAGAAGTGTCATAGTTTCAAATAAAGAAAAAGAAAGGGACACAAATCCTCACACAGGCGTCTTGCTCCCACAAAGGGGGCCCCTTCTGCCCTTGTCGTGAAGAGGGACATTCCTAAGGCAAGCTTACCTCCTCGTGGTTCTTCCTAAGATAGACCAGTTCCTCTTTCAGGGATTCAAACTGCGTCTCCAGGTCAGACCTGGCCAGAGTCAGTTGATCCAAAAGCGGACGTAGGCCATTGATATCACTTGCCACGCTCTGGTGGAGAGTATATTCAGTTTCGTACCTAAACAACAGACAGAAAGCGATAGCAAAAGTGCTGCCAGACCGCGGTGCTTGCTACCTGGCTTATGAACAGTTCCCATCATCAGCACGTCTTCGGTTTTAATCTCATTGCTCAGTTCTTAAAAGACAGAACCTGATTCTCTTTCTGTCTCCAGTAGGTTTGTTTGATTCCCGTAAAATTTCTTTCTGTGAGATTTGTATGATGAGGATTATCCTTATACATAGACAGGCAAGGGTGGAGAAACTTAAAATGGAGTCTTTTAACTGGCACTCTTCTGTGACTTGTCTGGAGAAGAATAACGAAAAACTAAACCAACCCAAACATTCTCGTAATGCGTCTCCCAACAGTTTTATACCCTGTCTTGGAGGCTCCAGCATCTCCCTTCGATTAACTGGCAAGGTGAGCTCCTGGGGGCAGAGGGAAGCAAGATGGGAGGAGACAGGAAAGGAAAGACTCACTTCAGTCTGAAGTCGTCCACAGTCATTCTGGTGTTGTCAATGTCCAGGAGGATCTTGTTGAGGTCCACAGTTGCATTGACGAGCTGCAAGGGAGAGGGCAAATGCTGTTCAGTCAGTTGTCTTTCAGGCTGACCCACAGCTAGAGGGAAGAACACCTGGGCACAAATACCCCTCCCAGTGTCTTCATGGCAGTGGCAAGGCTGACTATACAGAGGGGCTGTACGGAGGGAGAGCAGTTCATTGCTTCCAGTTACGAGAAAGTGCCTTTGCTATTAATTCTGGGTTACAAATATCCATTAAAAATATCTTGTTGGAAAGAATAGCTGAGTAAACTCTGCATACTCATATGGAACTCTTAACGGGCTGAGGACTAGAATTAGACTAAATGCACATGTTGGCTCATCCTGTATATTCCCCAAAAGATACAGTTAATATGATCATGAGCAGCACTACACAAGCAAGCACTGACTCTATCTCCTGTTCAAGAGCGTGGGGAGCAAACACACAAGAGCACGGTGCTGAAGGCAGCGCTGGACAGGCCCTGTGATGGGAGCGCTGGTAATGAGCTGCCGTCGCACCAAAGAAAGCTCCCTGCGCCAAACACCGGTGCGCCAGAACCCGCATGTCGCCTGCCACAGGGAAAAGCTGGTCACCGGGCTTTGTCCCACACTGCTCTGTCGCCTGGCTGCAGCAAAGGAGGGGATGTCGTGCCCTGGGACGGGATATTGTGCTGCAGGAGGCAAGGGCCGTTCTAATGAGGATCTGGTCAAAGTCAGTCAAATCGCATCCTACCTGGTTTTGCAGATCTTCAATTGTTCTGTAGTATTGGCTGTAGTCCCTGCTGCAAGTGGGACCTTGATTCTTATACCACTCCCTGATCAGTTGTTCAAGTTGACCGTTTTCGTCCTCCAAGCGCCGCACTTTATCCAGGTAAGAAGCTAGGCGGTCGTTAAGGTTCTGCATGGTCAACTTTTCGTTTGTGGAGAGCAAGCCAGCATCTTCACCAAACCCCACGCCACCAAAACTACCTCCACCATAGCCACCACTGCCAAAGCTGCCAC